ACTGTCCACATAGAAGTTCGTTTCTGACCTCCCGGCGACAGGCTAACTCGTTTTAAACCTAGCATTTGGCGGCAGCCCTGAGTTAACCGCTCTTGAAGAGCTTGCCCTTAGTTTCAACATGAGCATTCATCACAGGGAAGTGTTCAAATCGTTGTGCGATTCTTTTACAAGTTTTGCCCTCGTACCCACGGGAGATGTTTTATATTTGATTGCCTAGTTGTTCCTACCACCAGATCATCGCAATTTGCTCCATTTCTCACAGCATAGTGTGCCAACAACAAGATGATTGGTTGACAGCTGTGTGCTCTCTTAACACTATCATTCATTTATGGAGCTTCTTAAGTGTACGACACGATAATCATATCTATCATCAATCTCTGTGCACTAACTTCGGTACACCAGATTTACTGATGCATACTTCGATGCTCGAAAAAGGTGTTCATAAGAGACAGTTACTTGTTTGCACGAAGTCGAAATTATTGAGTTTATTAGGGTCGTTCTTTTCCATCACGCTTTTCCACCTTTCAGCGTCTGCTCCGACATTTGCATTGAAATCGTCCATTAGAATGCGTGACTCTGTAGTCGGCACTTCGTACATAAACCTGTAACAAAGTCAGGACTTTAGCCTGTTGTAGCTTCAGTCAGAGGTTTCCGTTGCTGGTTTCCATTCGATAATTCTGTCAACCAGGTTTGGTTCTACTAGGACGCCATCCCCGGCCGTAGCGCTCACCGTGATGTCGATACCTGAAAGGAATAGCTTTCACCCTCAGAGGTTCGGTATTCGATTGCTTTGGCGCTTCGTTGACAAGAGTCCAACTGTGTTGAATTGATACCATGTAATTTGATGTGTCTGCTCTGTTCTTTCCCTCTGAGTGAGGATATGCTCCACTTTTAAACTATGAACTCCTACTGTCGGTTTAATTACCGTTGAGCCTTCTCTGACGTGCTATAATGGCATCGCGCTATGTCTTCTCCATTCAGAAGCGATGGCGGATCCATTGCTGACTGGTATGTTTGTCGCCGTTTCTTGATCTTCCTCAGCCGTTGCCGTGCTGATGCGCCCCCGTCTGCCAGAAAACGGTGAGCAGCCGTTTGTTGCCATGTTCTCGTAACCAGGCTCAGGTCCCCAATAAATGCGTGATTCTTGGTAATCTGGTCGCTGAACGGGCCGGTATGATGTTTGATTGCGTTAAATTCATGAAGGCAGGTGGTTGCGTTTTATCGAGACCTCGCTACAGTCTCCAAACCTTTCTCACCCGGTCTTTTGCACCGACAGCAGTGGATCAGTAGTAGTGCCTTAATACTTCCACTTATATTTTACAGCTTTCGTGATGTTATTGAACAGCGCTTTTGCTCCCAGAGGTGTATCGAGGCTTGGATTATTCTTGTTGGAACTTTTCGCATGACAGTACTAATAGCTAGTCACAGTTGGTGGGTGTTTGGATCTTTCATCAACGAACAGTCAGTGATGCGCTTAGTACTGTGAATACTTTCTCACTGGGCTGTAACTTGTAAGTTTGTAGTTGGATTCCAATAATGTCGTTTTCGCAATGCTGCATCTGTCACTGATAGACGATTCCCATTACCCTGCTCTAATGCCAGCGGTACTGCATGCTGGTCACTTGCCAACTTCCACGTCTGCACGTTCTTACCGGATTATTCGAAACCGAAGTAGACCCGTTTTCACATTCATGATGTTCTGAATCATAACCGATTTATGTGCCAGTAACTTTTTACCTTTTTGGAGCTTTCGTATCGTGCATTACATCGTTTATTGGTTTGTTTGAGCCGCGCTTTTTCAAACTAATTTTTAATTCGCCATCGATTTTCCGGTCTTATGTGATGAAGCCTTCGTTTTATGCACTAGATGGCCCTCTCCTTCACTGACTCGTACAGTTTGCTTCAGTTCTTCCTTCTAAAAAAGTCTGTTGTTTATTACGCCTTTTCTTTATTCATGCGGAGCCGGTTTTTCAGTATGTCTCCAAACTTCTGGTATTACTTCTACTCATATTTTCGTTGTGCAGTAATACATGTACGTAAAGCATGCACAATAACACAGCTTTACTCACGCCTTTAGCACATATGTAGTCATTGAAAAAAGAAATGGACTCAATGTTTACCCTTGATAGAGTCGTTCCCGAGCAAGGAATTAATTTTTCACTACATTCAGTCATTTTTGTCAATTCGTTATGCAGTTTATCGGTATGTCTAATGTACTATTCAGGACCCATCTTCTATCTTATACTCCACCATATTGCATGCCTTGATGTTCCATGGCCAGAGTTTTCTGTTTGTCAGTTTAGCATAAGGCCAGACTAATTTTCGGCGATACAGGCCTGTTTCTGTAGTCTTCTGCCGTCCT